CTATATTCTCCATGTCGGCCCGCCGCGGGGTCCGTCAGTGCAGCATCTCCCCGCTTTACACCTTGGCTCAACAAACTTGACTACCTCGGCACGCATTTGCGCCAACGTTTTGAAGCTGCGGACTGCCTTATTTCAGTCGTTCCCAAGAATATCTAGACTCTTTCGAAAGACTTAGCTGTGGGCTCCTCTTTTCACGTCAGCAAGAAACTCGGCTCCGGCATTTCGGATCAGATCAGCAACCATGGCCCAAGCACAATCTGGTCTTCGACCTCTCCAGAAGATCGGCCTCATCTTTCATATACTATGGGGTAAGTACCACAATCGACAAGCTACATAACGTAGAACTCACCGAATAAAACAGCTTTCCCTACCTTTTTTTCAATCGTAGCTCTCGGGCTACCACGCGCCATCCGCCGCGGCATCCCGCTGAGATTCTGGTTCTTGGCCGCAACCTACCGCATCGTTCTGGGCGTCTTCCAGCCACGTGAGATTCAATTCCTGGCCACTCCGACCCTGCAAGTCTACTCGGCCTGGCTCGCAAAGCAAAAAGCCAAAGAGTCCAAGAACGCCAACACCGCCGCCCTCGACCGACTCCACCACGACGTCGAGCCTCTCGGCACCGGGGCCGATATTAACCATGCCGCAGCCGCCGGCGACAGCGGAAGCATCATGTGGCTCGGCAACCGCAAGAAAGCCTCCAAATTCGTACTCTTCTTCCACGGCGGGGGGTACGTCGCCCCATTGGCCCCGGGCCACCTCACCTGGTGCTGGGAATGCTACGTCAACGGCAAGCCCGGCGATAGCAACGGAGATGAGGTCGCCGTCGCGGTCCTGCAATACACCCTCTGCCCGGGTGCTAGATACCCGACGCAGCTGCAGCAGGCCGTGGCGGCCCTCAATCACCTCCTTCGATCCGGCGTCACGCCAGAGAATCTCATCATCGGCGGCGACTCGGCTGGCGGGAACCTCACAACCCAGGTGCTCTGCCATCTCCTCCGTCCCCACCCCGACGTCCAGCCTATTCGGCTAAGTGGCCCCCTCGCCGGCACGTTCTTGGTCTCCCCTTTCCTCACGCTTCGCACCGATGCCGTCTCCTATCGAACAAATCACCGTGTCGATATGCTCTCAGCTGCCATCGTTGCCAAGGCTGGCGGCTACCTCTTTGCCGACGACCACGTAGCGAAGCAAGCCACGAACCCGCACGAACCGCTGGCACTAGATGGCGACATGGAGTGGTTCGGGGAGATTCGCACTATCGCCAAGTCAGTATACGTAACGGCCGGCGCGCAGGAAGTGTTCTGCGATGACTCGCGGGTCTTTGCGGAAGCAGTCAGGAGACGGAATCCCGGGTTGGACGTCCAGCTGGAGGTAGCGTCCACCGAGGTCCACGATGGAATTTTGATCGAATCCGAGTGCGAAACGATCGGGGACGCGTCTCGGAGGATGAGGAACTGGGCGTCAAAGTGTTTGTCATGATTTTCTGTCGATCAATGATTGCACATGATACCACCACCGCCTTTGATGACCCTTAGATGCCAAGTGCACGTCGGCGTTTCGTTCTGCTCGTTCCTCTGCTGCCGCGTCGTTCGTCTAGTTTGCTCGTGAGAACATAACATGTCTGTCCCTCTTATCCGGTGCTGAAATCCTCGTGGTAATATAGCGCCCTGGTCGATGATTCGATATTGGGCCAATTCCTTGGCCAGCCACCTGCATGCACTCGCAAGCAAGGGCGTTCTTTTCCCGTCATATCAGACTCGGGTGAGCTTTCTCATGACTGCAAAAAGAAGCATCTGACGTGCAGCAGCACAACTTTGCCCTGTTGCGATGCGCCCATAAGTCCGGTTCCTCGATTCCGAATTGACTATCTCCAACAGGCAAGGGTGTCTCGAACCGAGGTCACGATGTGCATACCGCGGGTAGTCAGTCATTGGGAGGGTACAGCTGGGGCCGGGTACCCCAAATCCTGGATGCACCGCGTCAATTGCCGTCAACACTCGACCACAAGGGACAAACCGAACAGGTTGAAATGATTCTAGACCACGAGACGGGATTCGAAATCTCGCCCAGTCGTGTCGCAATAGAAAAGGAGCTTCGCCGATTCGTCGCCCTACAAGATCTGCCTCCAAAGAAAAGGGCCAAGACTTTGGCACGTTCGTTCGGGGTACGGTAGCGGCGGCCCCCCTCATCTCCCCTCACCACTGGGGAGTTTTCATCATGTAAATATCGCGTAACCGTTTTCCCTTTTCTCAAAGAGCCGCGTGCCCAGCGCCAGCATGACACTGCCTTTTCATCTCGTTTCCCGTTCCCGCGGGTGCGGGAAGCCCAAAAAGACGAACCGAAACGAACCCCCGTTCCACAAAAGCCGATTTGAGGCTCTTTGGGGCTTGCTTTAACGACATGTTGTCTCTCCCCAAGGCGGCAAGACGTCAACGGCTCCGACAAGGCCTCCGGGGTCTAGGAAGAGGGTATGTAGTTGTTTAAATCAACGTCGTCGACATAGGAAAATTTCAAAGTGGAAGGCACTCACAAGGCACCTTCCTGAGAGGTAAGTACCTTAAGTAAGCCATTCGGGATTCCACATCTGCAAACTGCAGGTGCTCCTATCTTATCGCAAATCAGACCGTTGCACCTGCCACACCACACCACACACCCAGAAGGCACGCCAACATGTCGTTGCGCCCGCAACGCCCGCCAAACCACCACGAAAACCCACCTCTTGCGGGCGCAAGATCCAAACTCCCGGGCCCTTGGATGCGTTTCCCTCTGCCTCTGCCGCATCGCCATCGCGCAACGGGAAGGATCAACTCTTTTCTTTATCTAGGAGATTTTTATTTTAGACATGTACCTAGGTCCCCTAGGGGGACGAACCGCTTCCCGAGATCTGGGGAAAGGGAGAAAAAAGTCCCGTCGAGCGCCCGCTGGATCTTGGGGTGCAGCAAAAGCTTGAAGCCAGCTGGAAGAGCCGCATCTTGAATATGACTTCATATTTCGACATCGCGACTACCTCTCTTGCTCTTGCCCCATACTCCGTACACTACGCTGCTCATTTGTCTGGTAGCAGGTGCGTATGGCCCGTTGGGTCCTGCCAAGACATTGAAAGTTGACCCCCCCATGGCACCGCACTTTCTTGCCTAACAATTTCCCACTTGGCGCCCTCCTTCCTCACCTACCTTCTCCTCTGCGGCCTCCCCTTCTCTCTCAGTCTCTCTCTCTCCGTCTCGTCCACCTTTGTCCGATATTCCTCCCACGTTTCCCTCTTTACCAATCTTTCAGCTCGCATGACCACCATCTCTCTTCACTCCCACTTCTCCTATTCAATTGCAAAGATAAGGAACCAAAGGAACTGGCGGCATCAATCAGCCTTCGTATCCATATCGATCCCCCCAGTCTTCTCACTTCCGAATTTCCCCTTCACCCGCGCGCCCTTTCATCAACCGACGCCCAATGCAAGCCGCCAAACCCCCATGATGCATGCTCGACTAAGGTATATCAGACTAGCTCGCCCCGACGGCTTGAACGTTCCCAAAAAGTGGACATATTTCTGAGATGGGCAGACCATCTTTGGGGGTCGCGACGCCGGTTCGCCCACTCAGCGTTCAATTCCTTATCTCTTGGACATTTGGCCGTGGGTGGGGTTCACTAAGGCGACAAGCCCCCCCGACGTCGGTAGCGTGGGCGAAAAAAAAAAAAGGGTGCGTCGACAGGGGCCTCAATGTCGATGGGGGGATCCTTGACAAGTTGACGATGCCGCCCCATCCAACGATCCCACCCCCCTCGAAAAGAAGACCAGCGTGAAGCGCCAATTCCCGATCGCTTACACTAGGCTACAGTACGTACTCGTTCTCTCTTCTTCGCCATGTCTTCATGATTAATTGCCTCGATGACCAACGGTAACGGTGTTGTCTACGTCCGCTCGGAAATAGTCGCACCCTTCTCCAGAATATTAGCATCAGAGCTGGCGCCGACGTCGGCTTACCGGTACTGTACCGCGGCGCTTGGGCTGTCATCAATGGAAAGCAGAAACGAGAGTCATTATCCGAAGCTGAAAGATGTCCCCAAGCAGAGGACACAGACATACTGTTCGGTGTCCCAGGGCGCATTGTATGCAGAACATCATCCCACTCGGCGTATCATCCCAAGGACCCAAGTCGCGTACGAATACGTATGCATGCCGTTTGGGACGGCCGGCGGAGGGGACATAAGATGCGCGAGATGAACGTTCCAATTTGGGCAGAGAGATGGAGGACCAATTGGATCCGCGGTCTCCGAGCCAAACTGGCCGAACCAATCTTAACCATACCGTGGTCGACCGGACGTGGTAGCCAAAACGGAACGAATAGATGAGCACCAAAGCAACCCAAGCAACAAATAACGTAGCTCGTCCGGGGAACTGCAGCCTAATTATCCGCCTGGAAAACTCAGTGCCTCGAGTCGCGTGTAAAAAGTTAAACCCAAAACTCAATCATCAGGACAAGAGTCGGGACGAGAGGGGAGACGCACTGCCGACTCGACGAGAGTAAGAGTGTGAGTACCAAGTGAGACTGGGTGTGAGTGAGCAGGAAAACCCGGGCAACAACCTGATGTCTACTACAGTAGTCGGATCTGCCAACGAATCAAACATGCCAGCAGCAGAAATAGAGCTTGCGCCAAGGCTGATGGCCGTGTTTCGATCCTTTCCCCCCTCACCCTCCACCCCCCTTTGCACAACCTTCCTGACATTCCACAAACTTGTGACACTTGACCGCAACTATCCAGCTCCGCCAAGCATGTACACATACAGAAGTGGTGCGCTGTTTTTGTGTTTTCTCTCTCTGCCTTCTTGGTTGTCATTTCCGGTCGTACAGGAGGATGAGACATTCGGCAACACCGCATGCATCCTCGTCGTAATACCCCCCCTCCTTATGCGCTCTCTCGATGCTTTCGTCCCATCAAACTGTCAGAGTTCTTCACCAGAAGGGAAATGCGCTTGAGCGTCTAGAATAGATCAGAGTCGCTTTTATTTGGCTTCTCATTACGGATATACCATGGGGTATTATACAACAATAAAATAAAAAAAGTATCTGCTCGCTTCGCATTTTGCGGGATATCCTTCCAACGGGGAAAACAGCTTTAGATCAATCCCATCCTGTAAATAACGCCTCGCTTTTGGAGCCTATACGGCACCCAAAAATTCAAATCAAAGTGACCAACTCTTCCTCATGGCACGGGCTCCCAATTTACAGAGAAGGAGCCTTCTCGCTCCTGATCTCGCCTTGGGGCGTCACAGGCTTGGGCTCGTCTGATCCACTGCTTGCTCCGTTGTTGGCCATGTGCTGGTGCTCCTCAATTCCGTGCTGAGGAATGAACTTTCCCTCTCCGGCGGGCTCGGCCTGGTGAGGGGTCCAGGCAAGGAAGTCGCGGCGAACCTCGACGTAGTCGTAAGAGAATTCACCGTGCTGGTCGTCGTCCATACCCAGGAGCTCAGCCTCCTCGGAAGCGCGGAGCTTCAGACCAGGAATCATGTCGATGGCCTTGGCCAAGATGGCGGACATGACGAAAGTATAGGCGCAGCAGGCGACGATGTAGGCAATTTGGATGTACATGAGCTTGTAGTTGCCGTCAACCCAGCCGCCAGAGACTCCCATGTTGACACCGTCGAGACCGATAATCGAGCTGGAGGCGAAGAAGGCGTTGAAGATGAGACCGACAATACCGCCGATACCGTGCTCGGCGAATACGTCGAGAGAGTCGTCAATCTTGAGGAGGAATTTGACTGAGGACATTCATGTTAGCAGTGATCTACTTCAAGGGGTGCGAGGAAAGTATGGCTTACTCTTGGTGCCGAAGTTGCAAGCAACACCAGCGACAACACCGAGGATGATGGAAGCCCAGGGAGTGATGACACCGGAGGCAGGGGTAGCGGCAACGAGACCGGAAATGGTGCCGGAGCACCAGCCAACAAGAGACCACTTCTTGGCCAGACGGAAATCGAGAAGGCACCAGGTCATGGCAGCGAACATGGCGGTCAAGCAGGAGTTCCAGCAAGCCATGGCGGCACGGAGGTTGGCACCGAAGGCGGAACCACCGTTGAAACCCAACCATCCGAACCAGAGAAGAATGGTGCCGAGAGTGATGAGGGAGATGTTGTGGGGACGGAAGTTGAGCATCATTCTCTCGTTGCGACGGCCGAGAACCCAGGAGTAGGCGAGAGCCGACATGCCGGAACCAATCTCGACGGGGCCGCCTCCGGCGTAGTCGAGAACACCGTACTTGAAGGCCCAGCCGTTGGCGTTCCAAGCCCAGCAGGCGACGGGGGCGTAGACGAGGGTGGCCCAGAAGAAGATGAAGACCATGCAGGGAATGACTCGGCCGCGCTCGGCGGTGGCACCAGCAGTGAGGGCGGCAGTAACGGCGCAGAACATCATCTGGTAGAAGGAGTAGAGAAGGGCGGGAACGAGAGGCGAGCCCTGGGAGGGAGTAGCGAGAACCTTCATGAGGCCAAAGTGTCGAAGATCACCAATGAAGCCGTTGGTGGCAGTTTCGCTGAAGGCCAGAGAGTAACCCCAGAAGTACCACTGGAAGACGATGACTGAAAAGCTCATCATAACCACCCACAATTGGGAGAGGGCCGACTTTCTGCGGGCGAGACCGGAGTAAAGGAAGGCAATGCCGGGAATCATGAGCAGAACCATGGCGGCCGAGACGAGAATGTAAGACTGGTCACCGGATTGGTACCATTGGTTCAGGTTCGTGGTGGCTATTCACGGATTAGCATCAAAGTCGGTCGAGGCGAGCCCCAAGTGTTGCGGGAAGTTGTCGACGTACTGGAATCACCACCGTAATCTTCGTTGGTGCCATTGAACTCCGTAGGAGCTCCAGTATGCGTGTAAGACATGATGGGCGATTGGTGTGCGGTATCGGGGTCGTGCGAGGTGTTCACCAGAGGATTGGATGGCGTAGAAGAGTCAGGAGAGGGGATGAGGGAGTATTATTATTTTTTTTTTCTCAAGAGCAAGCTGTCTCGAATGTGGACAGAGCTGGGACGAGATTGTCGACGGCCAGGGTAGGTCGGATTCAAGATGAGACGAATTGCCTGGGTGAAGAGGAACGAACAGGCGGACAGAAACGGGATGGGAGGGACAGGTAGGATCATATATAAAGATACCAGACAGGAAGGACAGAAGAGAGAAGGGGTGGCTTCAAGAAGGACGTGGTTGCGGCAGAGGGAGCATGGAATACTGCGGTGATCCCTGGCCGTGTCTGGGGGTGTAATTGCCTGGGCCAGCGGAGCTACCTTAGTGTGGGCAATCCGCATACGGAGGAGGCGTTGTGGGAGCGGATGGGGAGGCACTGAGGTGGAGGGCATTGCTCGGTAGGTAGACATTTGACATTGGGCAACGGGTTAATCAGTGGGTGATTTGACAGACAGGAAAGTGTAAGTGAGTTTTGGTGCGGGCAGATAAGAGACACGACACGGGCCATGTTGGGCAAATGATGAACATGTGAGTGGACAAGCATGGTGCGGCGGACGCAGTACGTTAGAGGGAATAAAGTGGGTGCTTCTCCTCTGCTAGGGACTACGGATACAAGTAGAGACAGAAGGAAGAAGGCGGGAAAAGACTGAACCTGACTGAGCGTTCTATCCCGAACTCAATGCCCGTGGGCCCCAAAGCAAAGAAGGCAAAGCATGGCAAGTGCAAGCCAGACCCGGCCGTTCGGGGGAAATCCTGGCCTAGAGACGCCCCTCCCCTGCCACAAGTCGAACTTGCATCGGTACGTACTGCGGAATGTCCTTGCACCTATCGCGCCCCACGCCTTCCTCGGCCGGCCACCATGTCACTGTCATTGTCATTCGCATTAGTCCTGATAAAGTACGTATTCTGGTACTACGTACTGTCTCTGCGCAGTACCTACACACCAATCTCAGAATCGAATGAGCTCAAGCAGGCACACCTGCCTACCTTACCTCGACCACCTAGAGTCGACGATGATGATGCAGGTGTAAGTATGGAGTACCCAGGCTTCGATTCTTCTCAGACAATAGCCCATGGCAGTGGAATCGAAGGCAATGAGCCTGGGGATTAAGCTCTTGCTCCAGTTCACTCTCGCCGTCTATGTGGAGGCTTACGGAGTAGTACCTGTGACAGTACACGTGCTTGTGTGAGACTTTGGGGCACAAGCTTGTCCATGATTCTCGTCTCCTCCCATTCACATCGACCAATTTCTGATGCTGAAATGCCATGTCAGCGCCGGCCTGATCTTTCGCCCTATGCACCCACGGCGACTCTATCTACCAAGATCAATGGTCTAAGTTCAGGCTCAATGAACAGTAGTCAGGTCAACCCTCCACTCGGCCGATATCTGTCCCAGCACGACAAATACCTCACCGGCTGCGACACTGCCACTCCTGCCGAACATACAGCAGCCAAAATACAACTTGCCAAGCCAAGCCATCGAAACTATCGAGACAGCCTCAACAGTCACGCTTGGCTGCCTCCGTGTCTCCCCCCAAGCTCCAATCATCCTCGGTCCTTGGCTGTCATCATTGAATCAATCATGAACGAAAAGAAACATCGACCCGAGCGGACGACCAGTCTCCCAGATACGCTTGACACTTGACAGAACCACAGATAAGACATGCGATAGGCGCAGCCCAAGCGGGACCTGTCAGTGGTGGACAGTAATTGGGCTGAATCAAAGAAATGCCTTTGGTCCACTCAGAGCTCACTGTGGCTGTTTAGTCAGCCATTTCCATCACAAGTTTGCAAATTCTCTCACTCATTCACTCTCTTTTTCCAGAATCCACGCTTGTCATCTCCCCCCCTGCATCTTCACGGCCCAGCAGTCCGGCAATCACTCGACCCACCCGGACACCCTCCACCGATGCAGGCGGGACAAGACCTCACGATGGTGGGACTCGGGGTTGTCGGCCTGGGATACCCCCAAATCCCTCGCTCCCTTTCTTCTTCAGTGGAATTGCCCCAATGGGGCAATCCTCTTCACGACAATTCCCGTAGCGTCCTCCACCCCCAAACCCCCAAATTTCAGCAGCTATTGATCAGGTCAGAGGATGTCTCGACCTTATCGTAAGGCTTGGCTTTGCTTTTCAGCATTGGCATTTGTCGACGGGGTTTGCTCCCAGGAATTCGGTCACTGCCCTTGCTCGAGCACAGTCCTATAGCGGTACTCTCGACTAATACACTACGATTTGTCTCACATAGCACACGCGATGCGTGCTGCCGACCTCACGGCCAATGACTAGAGCTAACCCACCCACCCACTATGAGGACATGATCCCTCGTGCCCATCTGCGTATCAGCTTCAGCCGAGACGCTGTGAGGCGGACGGCTGGCGGAATCGGCCATGCGTTCCTGACAAGACTCTTCATCCATGTTGACGCCAACTGACAGTCTAATCTGCCAGAGCCAGAGATAACCTTTGGTGTGGCGCGTACCGTCATTTCAAACGAGCGAGGCTACCGCGACTTTTCTACTAGCTCCAACATTGATGTGGCATGATTTGAATGCTCTCGGTCAAGTTGCATTGCAACACCAAGATGAATTCTGGAGCAGGCCGCTTGACGACTCGAAAGACTGACCAAATTTCTTTTCTCGAAAAAATCGATGCCACTCTTCACCCTTGCTCGTAGAGGGTTCTGGCTCTTGCAGCTCCGTCTTCGGCACATGTCAAGGAAGAAATCGGCTTGCTGGACCCATCGCTCATTCGGAGACGCGCCTCTCGTTGTGGGGTTGAAATCCATTAGTCTTCAGCCTGGCAACCGTTTGCTAACACTTGAGAGCCCAATTCGCGAGGTGCATCGCATCCAGACTCCAGCACCTAAGGGAACCGGAGAACGCAGAGGGGCCTTCAAACTTGGCTTCCTCCACCGAGGTCGATCCCAGGCTGGGGACCTCCAATCAACGCTATCTGTTTGGCTGCATCTTTAACAGGCGCAAATCCGGTTGCTTTTGATTCTATTCGACCAATCCCTAACATTATCAACGCCCTTTAAGTCTTGAATATTTGGACGACGACTATCGAGTCTTGGAAGTTCAGGCGCGGGATGTCACTATCTCTCAGCTCTCACGCTATAATTACTGGTTTTGAACTGCCGTTATATTTCTCACGTTTGAGACGAGTAGCATCATGGGCTGAGATCGATTTGAAGACTTACCGAAACGATGACCATGACCCACTATGGTCCTCGGTCGCCACGCCTGTATTTGTTAGAGGTGGGAAAACCTGGGCGGTGCTCGAGATCAGCAAAGAGGCGTGCCTCCAAATCAAGCTACTGACATGGCCATCAGAAAGACGCTCATTGCACCGGATAAGCGCCTCCAACAATGACATTCTCTAGACACGTTGCGCATTAAACGACCGATGAGCTGGGTAGACTGGCGATTTCGCATATTGGTGACGTCCGCCTCACGCATCGAACCTGATAAGCTCCCGCGCGACCAGTCGAACGCTTCGCAATTATCTGCATCAAATCGTTGCATGAGCATATGTCATCGCTCTGGAGCATCATGCCCTATCGCGCGCTATCCCCTCCGATACTGCTGCACCCCAGCTTTGGTCCCCCAAAATCTTCTGCTACTGACTGCCGGCTTCGACCTCCTGAGACGGGGGCCTCTATACTAAGTGCGCGGCGATGATCGTGTTCGAGAAGAACCCAACTATTGCCCAGTCCGGGACGACGTCCGCCTACTTGAAACCACCCGACATGTGGGCATCACGGCCCAGAAGTTGGGGGGCAACCGATAATAAAAAAGATGACGTCCAATGTGTGTGGTGCGCCTCTCCCTCCTCTCATCCTAGCGACGCCGGTCGTCCAAAAGAAGAGATTCCCTGTTCCCGGCGCCAGTCGACCTGCGCTAAACCTTAGCCTTATCAGCGCCCAGATGAGCCAATCGGGACCCTGGTCGTTTTGTCAGAGCAAAATGTCATTTTCCCTCTCCGCTAGCGGGAGAGGGATCCACTTCGGGGGCGTTCGCTCCTTTCCGGCAGTCAAAGTGGGTCCGCTCGGGCCGGCCGAAGGCCGTGGGCTTTCCATTCTTTCTCGGTCATCCCCTATTTGTTCTTCTCCTTCTAGAAGGATTCTATGGATATGAGGTTCAGGCAGGTCGAGTCGGCGTTGCAGACTGATGGCTTGCTTTTGAAGAGCAAGTGACTACGTGACTTTGGATGATCGTATGATGGTATCGTGTGGAGTTGAATCGTTCTGGAATGTGACGAGACTTCCACTGCATCGTGGGAGTACCAAGACCCAGAAGACAGGCTTCCTTTGGTGTTATCAGAAAAGGGTTCAAAGTATACAAATAACGACATTACACATGTATTCGGGGTGCAAGGAGTCAGCTCCGTTCCTCTGTCATGATCGAGTCGACATCGTCCCGCATCTTGACCACTTCAGACGCAGTGCGTGAGTCCTACGTCAGACCTGCTTCACAATTTGAGGGTTTTTTACGAACGAACATGCCACGGCCACGAGATTCGTCTAGGTCGACGGGCTGTGTTCTATGTCTCCTTGCCCAACAACCCAGGCGGATTTGGCAAAGATGAAACATCCGCAACAGCCTGTCTATGTTTGAGGCAGCTATCTGCTCAATATAGCTTCACACATGGCTCATATCTCATCAACAGTCTGCTCCCTTGAAAATTTCTGGCGGAGAATGCAGAAACTACAAAGTTTCCCCCCTGTTTCAATGATCCTGCTTTTGTGATGTTACGTGTCAACCGAGTGTGACTCTGTCGTTATGGACGCTCTAGATGTCTTGGTCAAGCCTACGGAACATGATGCCGATGGATAACAGCGTCGCGGGCGACGCTGCGATTTACTTGATGCTTCTCTCATCAGCGCGTCCAGTCGATGGTTATCCGCGATCATTCACGCTATATGCTGCGGGCTGTTTGAGGGGGGTAACGGCTATGTTCAAGCATTGGCTGACCTCTCTATGTACGGGATTGAAGCTTGTCATAAAAAGACCTCGATCCAGGTGATTCCACGTTTAATAGTTGGCAAGACTCATTGATCACAGAACTATATAGAATAGCTGCAAGTTGTGATTTGCAACGAGGTCTCTGGGAAGTCTGATGATGCGATAGGGAGATCCTTTCGTGGACTAGACCAGATGATGGCATCCTTTCTGCGGTATCTCCGTATCATGAAGTGCCGTTTACACCTCACATATTGCTCAAGGTCTCCATGCTGATAGCCAGAACTTGACTCTCTGCGTGGGGGCGTTTGGTAACAGGTGAGCTACCTATAAGTTAGAGTCCTCTATATCTCCCTGGAAGCTCTGCGGCCACTGACCTCTTAGGAAGACAGGGGAAGAGACTCGCATCAAAATCATCGGTGACCGCCTTGAGACACGTTATTTTCCAAGC